CCTCGCCATGTGCCAGGGCAATCCTATGACTGAGATTGATGTTGTACAAACGTGTGTAAGGAACATGAAGAAGGAAATCTCCTTACATGTCGAATCTTCTAATTCTATCACTTTCTCCAACATGATCACAAATGCAGCTAAAACTGAAAGCTTGCTAAAGTATCATGCAGGAAATCGAGCTCAGACCTCGGGGGGGTGGGACTCGTAATTCCGTTAATAACAAAGCTAACCCTCAAGCTAGCCAGCAAAGGAATCCGGTCAGCGTGGTGGTCACTGCCACGCCCCTTCGTCATGAATCCCCAGCTAATGTTACTCCTCTCTAGACATTAGACACCTCTCGAGGGTTGCCACCCAGGGGTCAAGGGGAGCCTCAGTAGCAGCAACCTCAAACACATAATTGCAATAGGGTACCTCCGGCACAAAGCTACTATAGGACCGAACAATTCATCCGAAGACTGAACCAACCATATAGCTTCAATAAGGCATGCGTGCCAACTCTCTTGAAAGTGCTGATTGAATAAGGCATGGTGAACCTTCCTGACATTAGAAATCCCGAATAGGCAGAACTCATCAATCACGCCAACTACTGCGCTTATCACCGAATGTTAGGCTACTTCGTGCAAAACTGCCTCCAACTCAAAGAGCATGTCGAAGCCTTAATTCAAAAGGGGCAAATCAACTTGGAGAGCCTTAAGAAGGCTTTCAAAACTCTAGAATCTTCACAGAGGATCACAGTCCAAGAAGAGTCGACCAACGGTGCCCCTGTAGGCGAATTGTCTCCTTGCATGTTCCCCGTTCTCTTTGACGTAATGATACAACACAAAATGATCGAGCCTTGTGTACCCAAGAAACAAAAACGGGTGGCAGAAAAAGATCAACTTGTGGTGCTGATATTATCCACTAAAGGGCACGATCTGTGCTATTGTTTCACATTCCGATCTGTTGTGGAGAGGTATATACGAACGGTGAGATAGTCATAAACAACGCATCATCTCCACCTCTAAAGGAAACTCATGAGGTCGAAGCCTAGCAACATGAGAAGTTCAAGCAGGCTCAAAACCCCGCCCCTAGTGCCCCGGAAGCACCTGCTCTTCGTGACCCTGCGGGAAAGCCTAGACCATGGGAAATATATTGTGGTCGTGGCAAGATGAAAAGCCTCGGGAGGGAGGCTATTCACCAAGCGAACTTGGTACCCACATCTCGAGCTCAAGAACCCCGTCCACCGAAAAGAAGAGAAGAAAACAAAAAGGTTTTGTGAGCACAACCCTACAGGTTGAAACTCCCTCAACACCCAATTAAAACGGCTCTCCTTCCCCCTTTTCCTACTCTGTATGACTTTATGCCAAGGCAAGTTCCTTTTGCAGAGGGCGGTCAATACATGACTGTGAGGACAATCCAGGACACATCCCATACAGGGGAGGTTACAAAGGAGGCCCCCGCAACGGTCTGATAAAGGTACTATTCCTGAACAAAGGTCCAATCTACACGACCGGTAAATTGCTAGCGCATGTCCCGGATGTACGACACTAAAACTGCACCACCCATGGTCACGACGGTATGTCCTTCAAAATTGCCTCCTCAAAAAAAAAAAAAAAACCTTGAATGAAAACCTTAGCGGGTGTTCAGGTCAAGCAAGGAAGAATTCAAATCTGCTTTTGGGAGGCGTCTAGGTTCATCCCTTATTCCCCCTCTTCAGGAGATAAACGATAGGTGTAAAAGCATAAATGGAGGAAACAAGCCATTAATAGAGTAAACATGGGAAGCAAAGAGAGAAAAGAGAATCATTCCAAACATGTGTTAAAAGAATTACAAAATTTTGGATGGGCATCAAAAGTCCGCGAGCTTAGAAACCCTTAAAAATGTTCGAGAGCTTCGCGGATCTTCGCCTTTAGCTCCTGCGCGTGCCCCAGTGCAACTTGCCTTCGCTCTTCAAGAATACACCACAACCTCCTTGTCCACTACCTATTTGGGTGGCTATCTATCTATATCTCGAACACCTATTGTGGCACCCTTTTGTTTTTTTTTTTTGGTAAATTTCATTATTTTTATGACATTAGAAATACTTTGAAAACCCTTAGGACTACACTATCACATAGCACCTTGGACCACAATATTCCATGGTCTATGGCTTTCATTCCATGATCCCTTATCCCTTCAAACCCTCATTTAAAATTGAAAATAATCTAAATCCAAGATAGAAATTGCATTTAAATTCATAATTATTATCCAAAATTGTGTGAGAGATAACAAGAAACAAAATACCATTATTCTGGTGGTCTGTGACCAAAGCGACACACAGTGAGTCGCTTTGGGCGACACGGTGTGTGTCCCCAGACCTGCTAACCTAAACGACACATTGTGCGTGGTTTGGTCCATTTGGTGTTTGTTCCTTGTAAATGGTTATCGTTAAGCTTTACGATCCAGTTAGTGTTGTTTGGTTGTGTTTGACCAAAATGACACACTGTGCGTCATCTATATGTTTGACCACCAAAATTTCAAATTTTGAGTTTAACCATTTGGATAAGCACTCCTAACCTTCTCCCAACCAATCAGAGGTTTATAAAAGGAATTGAGTTCAACCTCTATGGGTTGGTCACAAAAATTTACCTAGACTTTATTAGTGGAGGGAAACACTTATAATTATAGGATCACGAATTCCAATAGAAAACCCATACTTCAACCTTTAAGCCTTAGATTTAGAAAACCCTGGGTCCCATTTCAATCAAAGCTATGGCTTGGTCACTTTTAAAGAGTAAGAGAAGGACAAACGGCATAAAGTGAAGCCACAGTCCTGATACGGGCGAAGCTTCAAGCTTCAGGTGTCTCGGGCCAACTGACCTGATCAGATAAGTCTCTTACCTCAATCTTTTAATTATCTTAGTCATATCTTAATTATTTGTATTTCTTTAGGTATTTTAGTGAGAAAATCATGCCGGCCCTGCCGATGATCTAAGGGAGGATCTGTTTATTTGGATAGATCAACCCCTGGATCATAATTAGACTGATCTATTGACTTCTCTATGATTTTAATTAATGAGTTTGTAGTGTCATATCAGGAGGATTTTCACTTAAGAATCTTTCAGATTTGCGTTGTAAACGCCTATGCACTATGCCAACTTGAGGGGTAGAATGATATAGTAGGGTTTTATTATGTTTTACTATTTTATAGATTTTAAAGTTGGATTTATTTTGAGTTTCTATTTTTTTTAAGGAGAAAAAATTAGGGTTTAGGGCTTTTTTTTTTCTTTTATAAGCATATAACTATTGGATTAGAAAAAGAGAAAAGAGAAGAAGATATTATTTTGGATCTTGTGAAGAGATTTTTCAAGATGAACTCCTTTTCAAACATTTGAGAGATGATATATTCATCAATATTTTTTTTTATCTTTCATTTTTTTGATTTATTTATTTCATTACCCCTCTTCCAGAAATCAATTGGTATAAGAGCTGTTGGTTTCGCCAATGACAAATGCCACCAAAACCTGCTCTTATGATAATTGGAATATTGTTGCAAGTCATAGAATAGTGAATTAACAAATGAAAGAGATCATGAATCAACAAATTAATGAGAACATAAATCAAGCCATGACACATATTCAAGTTGAGAAATGAGGAATGTGAGAAGAGGTCAGGGAAATAAGTCAATGGTTGTAATGGTCAGAAACAATGTTACTTGAGAAGAGGGTGCTTGCAAATATATGAATTCAATGAGCTCGAAGTCCAACTTCTCCCAACCCTATGAGAATGATGTAATATGTTTTTTAGTTTTTTTTTTTACTATTTTCTAGATTTTTGGTATGGAGTTTATTTGAGGTTTTTGGTTTTCTTTAGGCATATTTGTGTTTTTCAGTTGTAGAGATTTGAGGGACATAACTGGAATATTATTGATTAGGACTTCTTAGGGAGTAAATTAGAATTTAGGGTTCCTTTTACATAACAATTGGATAAAAAAAAAAGAGAAGAGAAGAAGATTTTAATTTGGATCTTGTAAAGAAATCTTTTGGGATAAACTTTCTTGCATACCTTCTATATTTTATCATCATTTATTTTTAATTTTTGATTTTTTTATTTTATATCCCATCTTCTCTATGTCAATTCGTATTAGAAATTTGCTCTCCATCACATTTTCCTTTGTTTATCAAGGGATAAGTTCTTATGAGTCCTAGGACTCATAAGTGGATACATGTCCACTTATTCATGATCCGTTTTTTAGATAAATTTTGGACCCAATTTTTTCGGTATAAATAATCTCCAACATGGATAACATGAATTTATAAAGCAAAAATAAAATTTTAAAATAAAACATTATTGATTTTCAAAGGAGAATTTTAAATTATTAATTATAACTTTTCTTGAAGAAAAAAATCCACATCCATCTTTAAGATGATGCAAGATGCCTCAAAGAACGCATAGATCACTTTACCTTTATCAAGAGGCTATTTTGGTGAAAAGAAAGTCCGCAGGGGTTTTCGAATACTTCTACTACCAAGCAATGATCCAATGCAACAATTGTATCATAGTATAATGCAATGACACTTCTAGAAAACTATGTTTGTGGTAGTTGTATGACCCCAAATTTGCACACACACTCTCTTCATCTCAATAATCAATTCCCAAAAAAAAAAAAGTTCAATTTGAATCCTAGATATGTTCAGAATGAGTCATCTCCAAAAATGAATCTAGACAATTCAGTTTGTGAATTTTAAGATTTTAGCCTTTATAAATTCAAAGTCATTTTTTTTTTTTTAACATTGTTCATCTAATTATAATAAAGCCATAAAAAAAAATAAAAATGAAATTTCTAAAGCTTAGATCCAAACATCTCACTAAAATGAACTGTCTACGTTAATTGGGCTAAAAAAGATATTTTTTAGATTGTGTTTTTAATTTTTAATATTTTTTAATTGTTTATTAGAATGAAAAGAGCGTATATTGCAAATTTTGGATAAAACAAAGGGTCATAAGATGGTTTTTTAAAGTTAGTTGCATCGTATTACTATTGCATGATAGATACTTCCATGTATTGTTGCGGCCGACGTTGAGAATGTAGATTCCCGCCACTTCGAAGCTCCATTTCTCTTTCTCCTGTATGGGCATCTCTCTCTCAACTGTCGACCAGTGCATCTCGTCTCTCTCTCTCTCTCACACACACAAAACACAAAGCCGAGACTTCCTTTTGTCCTCTACCCTTTCTCACTCCAACCTACCTCGCATCTCTCTCTCTGCTTTCCCCCATTAAAATTTGCTTTTCCTATTTCTAGCCTTTCTCTATTTAAAATATCTTAAATCATACCCCATTCCAATGATCTCTCTGTCTACTTCTCCGTCTCCACTCTCTAAACCTTCTCATCTTGCCACCCTTTCACCAAACCTATCCCAAAGCACCCTTGCCACCTCTGTGAAATTCCCAATCTTTCACATTAAATATCGTAAATTTAGATCGAGTTGCAGCTCCAATTTAATGGATCAATCCTCTTGCATGGATTATGACCAAAATATGGGTGTTTTTGAAAAAGTTGCCAATAAGGTTGCAGATGCTGCCGGAGAAGTTATCAGGGGCTATTTTCGCAAGAGTTTCACAATTCTTGACAAAGATGATTTGAGTAAGAAATTAAACTTCATAGTGTCTCATTTTAATTGCCTGTTTATTTTTGTATAAATGAATTTTCATTCATGATTATTTGTTTGTGAAATGCTGGTCATTTTTTTGGTATCAATGTTTTGGGTCATGGGAAATGGGAAGAAGGAATAATAGTGAAATAGGGTTATCTGTATTTCATTGGCCCGTTTAGGTATAAATGGTGCATGTACCATTTGATGCATCCCTAAATCTCAGTCAGTTCAAGTAGAATAGAATATGCTTTCTCTCGTCAGTCTTCTTTTGGTTCTCATATTCTTCAGGGTTTAGTTACCGCAATGTTCTGATGTGCATTGAAGAAACTATCGAGCTAGTAACTGCATTCCACTAGTTGACATTTGTTTCTCTGGAATGGCCTCAATCTGATATATATTGATACTATTACAATTATAATTTTGAGAACTGTTTCGAAAATGGGAATTTTTAGTCTTTTTGTTTAAGGAGTCTTTTTATTTTTGTGGTGCTATTGCTCTGAGTTGTGGATTGCAATTCATTGTTTTCATGAACTTTGTTGGCTACAGCATGGAATCGTAAAAATTTCATTTTATGTAATATAATTAAAGTACCTCTCTTGTTTGGCAACACACTGACTATGTTGAAGTCTGGGCAATTGGATTGAATTTCCTCCCGATACAGGTCCTGTAACCATTGCTGACAGAGCTGCTGAAGAATCTATGGTTTCGGTCATCTTGGAAAATTTCCCTTCTCATGCCATGTGAGGACCATATTGTGCTGAATCTGCTGATAACAAAGGATATTGTGTTCATTTTCTGATAGCATTTCCTTTTAAGAATTCAGTGATTTTCATTTGCAAATAGCATTCATATGTTTAGTTTATTGCTCTGGCGGATCTATTGTAGTTATAGTTTCAGACTTATAATTATGCTTTACTAAAATCTTTGGCAGATATGGCGAGGAAAATGGATGGAGGTCTAGCGAGAGAACTGCAGATTATGTTTGGGTATTAGATCCCATCGATGGCACAAAAAGTTTCATTACTGGTATTTATTTCTTGAATCAACTATGTTGCTTTCATGGGGTAAATTTTTAACAGATATGTTGTTTATTAATTTGAAAAAGAAAATCATAACTCATTCATGCGAAGAAGGCATTAATTCTCATGGACAGAATTTTTGTATATATATTGATTAAAGTACCCCAAACGGGTGACATACTGATGTGATGATCTAAAATGGATAGGATATAGATACTTACAATTCATTTACTACAGCTTTCCCTTGATAAATTTGAATCTACATAGCATGAAAACAATATATTCTAGTCTCAACACTTAAAAAGTTATTTTCAAATGTATATAAAATCCATAAAATAAGGAATTAGGCTTGTAATACATTTTTTAATATTCTTTATATTAAGGTAAATATTAAAAATTGTTTTGGTCATTAATACTTACTTTTATATTTTTTCATCTTTTCTGGAAAATTTTAAAAATACCCCTAGGCACAAATCGATTATTTAAAATTTATTTTTTTCATGAATTTTCAACATCATTTGAATGTGTTTTGTTTTAATCATTCTTTATATGTTTTTCATATTTTAGTAGATTTTTTTGTTTCTTTTTTATTTTTTTTAGCAATTTTTTGATCGCCTGGGACTTGCCCTGTTAGAACGGTTGAATCGGCCTGTTTACTGGTTAGGCCGGTTAAACCACTTCCGGCCCCACGTCCAGTTAACCGTTCCAGTCGATTTTGCGAACACTTGTCTGATTACTCTCCTCAAACTAGAGCACCAGTTGATAGAGACAATATTCTATTAACTAAAGTAATTATGACTTAGGAAACAGATTTGTATTTTCTACTATGAGACGGCTTTTTGACGATGGACAAAATGGTTTTACTATAGAGATCCATATTTTTCATAATACAGGGTCTGAAGATGACTAATATCCTTAGTTGTAAGTTTACTTTAATTGTTAAAACCAAAGTAAACTTCAAAGAAATTATGGAAAGTGCTCTGCTCTTGCTCATTTTTTTCTTCAATATAGCTTAATATCCTCTATTAGGAACTTTTTGCACATTAAAAATGCTGTTTTGGGAGCCCTACTTCACTAGACATTGAAGAAACTTCTGTTTTCTTCTTATAATAAACATACACACAAAAATTATGTTAAATGCAACTTTTGTAGTTTGTTGTAAAAAAAAAACGGTTGAGGTGTGTCATTCTCCACCCAAGTGGACATTGACATCACACATAAGGTGCTATGCCTTGAAACCATTGAATGAACTGTATTCCTTAGCTTAAGCAGGGATATATTGAATGATGCTGCTTCTGCTACATTGTTCGATAAGTTCTTATGCTAAATTTTATGTACTTTTGTTGAGGAAGGACAACAGTCAAATTTGTTGAATATGTCAGTTCACATCAACAACCCAGAAGTTGCACCTTAGAAACTTTTGCCATATCATACATAATATTAGATGATCTTCTGAACATGGTCCCTGAACTCTAGGTTGCCATCTCTTGAGCTTATGACCTGCCTGCTCTACTGGCGAGTAGGTATAATCTCTTGATTATAGGAATTTGATGAAAATTGTCTTTTCTTTGGCACTTCTGTTTTTCTCCTGCAACATCAAGAAACAATATATTCTGTAAAAATAGAATACTAGGTTGCGTACAACCCCATGTCTTTCACATACTTCAGGTTTGTGTTGCTTCATTCTTCTTGACATACCTTTCCATGCATCTTACTACTTTATCTTGGCTAAAACTAGAGTGATTCAAATAATCACTGGTTTAATGTTTCGAAAGACTTCGTCTATAAACGGCGATAGAATCGGTGTCAAATCATCCCTCTTGCACTGTCAACATGGTTCTCCATTAATGACTAAGAAATTATTTCATGAGGTCTTTTCTTTTTTATTGTAAACATGGGCTAAGAGTGGCATTTTCAATGCTTAATTGCAAAAGACACTGAAAACAATGGTCCGTTGACCACCATAAACCCTTAACTGTATTTTTGTTTGGGTATAATTTTGACCTAACCTAAAACTTTGTCATAATACACTCTTGAGAAAACCCATTTTCTATTCAAGTCACGCACTATAAGGATTAGATCCAGACTAAGTGTTAAACCTACATAAATTCAATTCATTACTTTGGCATTCTTCTAAAAAAGCTGGGGATAATGTCTATAATGACCCCCCAGTTTGTATCTTTGACCTTTAGTTGCACTCCTGACCTTGATTTACCCTTTACGAGACCCTTCGGTGAATATCCATCATTCTACGAGGCTCTCTGGTGAATCCATTCCTTTTTCTGTTATGCTCCGGTGAATACCTTCTCTTATCACAAACTCTTTCTTATTAACCAGTATATAGAAAATTCAAAGATTCCCTTTTGCTCATCTCAAGATTTAGTATTGATAAAAATACTCTTTTTTGACCCATTCATGTGGTCCGGAGAACCGTGAACACTTTCCGAATGAAAACAACTTTATTCTTACCAGAGGGGCAAAATGGAAATATAAGCTCTTTCCTACAAGTCACTTATGATGGAAATAGTATACTTCCTTCTAAAATGTTGTGTTGGATAAGGTATGACACAATGCACGTTTAAGAAGCATAACAATCATCCTTCAGAAACTAGACATGAAGACCACTACATGCACTACACCGTAACTATCGTGCATGATTGCAAACTGTCAAACAAAAGCGTTTGATATTTGTATATAAGCAAAGAGAAAGATAGGTAGTGAATGACACACACCGTAGTGAGAGACAATAGAATATCCTTTGGCATACAAATGATGTATCTTGTATTGTATTCATATTTGATCGATTAAACATAGGTTTTTCGCTTCTCCTTAGTATGAGACAATGAATGTAATTAACAAGGCATCCATGGGTATCATGGAAATGCTTGACCAAGAAATAAAATAAAAAGCTTTGTATATGGATATACCTGGTCAGAGTGATTGTTTGAAGCAGTGTTAAAAAAATCGGCGATTTGATCTGGAACCGGGCGATCTGGATCGGGTATCGGTTGGGCCGTTCTGAATCCAGCCATAAAATGAGATCTGGCCGTGTATGCACAGTAAATCGGTAGCATGACATCACAACTCACCGAGTCTATTGATTATGACATCACAACTCACCGAGTTTGTTGATTATAACATCATCAAACTTAGTATTGACTTCATCACACTTTTTTTTAAAGTTGGAAGGGCATTTTTGTAATTTTCGTTAAAAATGGGGGCAGTTACATAGCCATGTTTGCCTTTGTCAACCATGTCCCCCTAGCACCGCGTGCCTCTATCAACCATAGGCACAATGCCTCATGCTCCATCATGGATGGATGATCCATTAAAGCGCCACGTACCCCATGCTCCTTCATGCTTTTCAAGCACCCCTATAGCGCAACATGTCTCATGCTCCATCTTTTCAACCACCCCTAGCGCCAGGTGCCCCATGCTCCATCATGCTTTTCAAGCACACATTTGATGATGGTGATGAGGAGGCTTTTATTCACATCAAACTTGTTCTATTTTTTGGATGTGGGACATTTCGTCCCATTCAACTTGCACAACGTCATTGGACCGTTGGAGGCTTGGAGCATGTTAGCTCTTTTTCTCTCTCTCATATATCAATGCCTATTGTTATACTTTTTTTACCTAGGAATAAATGGTCTAATTATATTTTTTATTTTTATAAGATAGTGATCTTTAGCATAAATTTAGGAATATTAATTTAAAGATAGGGTTCATACAATGAGGCCATTCGAAATCTCTCTCTCTCTCTCTCGCGCTCTCTCTCTACTATCAATCTCTTCCACTAAATTTATTCTAGAAACCTAAAATATTAGATTTGTGAAAAATTAAAGTGTTATTTCGAAAATTGGTACGCATTCTAATAATTTCTACATTGATAACCAAATCTTGTATTTTATTTATTAATTTATTTGCATTATAAATTATGTAATATACTATTTTTCTTACAGTTGTCAATAATATATTTTAAATTAAATGATATTATAAGATACTTCATCCATGATAATTCTATGATTCTTCTTGTGTGATGTAAATTTAATGGTTAACATAAGTTCATGCAAGGAAAGAATATCTCAATATTCCCATATTGATGGAAAAAAATGAAAGTTAATAATGTAGTACCCCCATTTTTTATTGAATTCCTAAAAAACAACATTTATAATGATTTTTTATAATTTTTTTGGACTTTTTTATTGCCGAAATTGACCGATTCGATCGATTGTCGATCCGAACCGCCGATTCACCGATCTGGATGGGTTTTTGGGGTGCCCGATCTGGAGCACCGATCCGTTTTTTAAACCACTGGTATGAAGTTTTCTTGACTTATTCTGTGCTTATTCTTGCATACAACTTAAGATTACCCCAAAAAATCTAGACTTTTTAGGGAAATAAAAGTCCCAAGTGCACGGAAAACTTAAAAACACATTGAAGTTGGTTATAAATTTGTCGTGGAGGAGTTCATTACAAGGATTATTTCTCCTTAAAGGTTCCACCAGAGGTCATATTGTAGATTTTCTCAGTCAAGCTATGGGCACAGTGAGGCATTTGTACTAGCGGACATGTCGTCACTCCTTGATCTTTGTGTACAGTTTGAGGAGAGTTATTGGAGATGATTGTTATGAACACGTGTGCCTTGCATAAAGGCCATATTTGCCTTTCTTGAAATGTTTTATGTATTATGCTACTCGATGGGAACTTTGGTTAATTATGAAGTTTTTCTGCCATTTCTGAAGATTGTGGTAGGCATTAAATGTTCCCGTATGTCGATGAAAATTTAGAAAACCTGAGGTATATATGCTATGATCAAGTGCTTTCTAACCATGGAAGACATAGAGGGATATGGATAAAGATGGACGCCCCAAGCGATTGAGATATACGTTCAGTAGACTTTCTGTGCATGATTGGGTTGGAGAACTTCTAGTTCTGCTGGTAGATTTTACATTGTGTCTTCGGCTCAAAATTTTTGCTGTCATTTTTTTTTGTATGAGGAGCGATCTTGGCCTGATTAGTTCCTATAGTCACTGTGATAGTCAAAGGAAAAGGAACACCTGCTTCTAGTTGCCAAGGTTTTAAAATACCTGACCCCACCTCAGGGCAGGGCAGAACAAATCTGCCCAGTATGAACCGAGGAGGCCTCACGGGATCGCTCAGCCTTGGAGTGCCTAAGCCCAATAAGGTGATGACAGAAAATGCCCTTCAGCAAGTGCATTTTGGTCTTTTTCACCATTCTTTAAGGGGGGAAGACGTGGGTAGGCACCTCCATCCCCTCCATTGTATGCATTATGAAAAGCCCCTTCTTTCATAATAAAAACCCTAAATCTAAACATTTCAACCTTTTTTTTCCAGATTGGAGGAGAGGAATCTTCATAGGAAATCAAAATGAATCTAAGCCGTTATTTAGATTCCAATGGTGTGTTTTGAATATGTTGTCTCTTGGTAATTGTATTCTTGTTTGTTATGTCCATGTCTATGTCTATGTAGCAAAGTATACATCACAAATGACAAAAGTTATCACAGTCACACACAGAGGTTTAGGCTGCTCAAGATTGAGGTGGCGTGTAGGCAGCCAGACGCTTATGGCTGTCTAGTTACTGCTTCACACTATCTTATTCATTGATCGTTGGTTTGGCAGCTTGCCTACTCAGAATAATTGCTTCTTAGATATTCAAATATGATGTGAATAGCGATGGCTTAGAATGTTTCTGTTACTACCTAAGACTCTTGATCACCTATGTCAAGTCCTCAGCTGGTTATGTTAGAAGGTGTTAATGCTGAGAGATGTGATCATGTATGACATTGTGCCTTTTATTTAGTATACTGGTTTCCTTACCAGTGTGTTATTATTATCATCATCGTCATCATCATTGTTATTATTTTTTTTCATAAATAACCATGTCATTAATGAAGGATAATATTTTTTTTGATCACTATTGAGGATAGATCATTTTTACTTGAAATTTCCTCCTTTATATTGCAGGGAAGCCCTTGTTTGGCACTTTGATTGCTCTTTTGCACAAGGGAAAGCCTGTAAGACCTGCAACAACACATCTACTCATTTCTACATTTGTGGGTTTTGGTTACATGTAACATATTTTCTCTATTGATAATTATTTATTACGTGAAGTATGATACAATCTTCATGTTAGACTTAGGATGAAACCGGAAGAAGTAAATTGACACGATTTCTTTATGTTTGACATTGTTGGCACGTCTTTTTGACGAGAAGGTGGTTGCGACGATAGCCCATGGGTACCAAATATGCCTAGGGACTATGGAAGCCCACGTGAAATATGCCCAATTTTGAAGAACCATTACAAGAATGTCATCTCGGCCCCAAAAGCTGTATAAGGGTGGCATTTGACGTCCCAAAGTCCTTCCCCAAGTTTCGCCTCGAGCAGGCGAATATATGAAGAGACATGAAGAAGATAAGGTTTGGAGTATTGCACTCTATACATGTACGAGCTACACCATAGCCAAAACTCCCTGAAGGTGATCTTAGATGGTCTCCAGACCACTGTTGAGGCTTCAGAAGGCCAAAAAACCCATAACTAGCAAGTTTTAGGCCAAACAGACGTCTCTGGGTCATACTTTCCTAAAATGGGTAGGCCATTTACTATTCAGGGGCAGGCAAGCAAAACCAGTTGCCTAAAATAGTAAAAGACTGATACCTCTTCTCAAAATATGGCAGTGCTGGATGAAAAATAGAATAAAGTAAAATAAAAAATAATCCCAAAATCATAAAAAAATGACAAAAAAAACCCCTAAAAAATCATGCAAATGACATCTAGGTCCCCAAAAAGGGGCATCTTCCCATCCACATGGCTTGAGTCCTTCTTTTTGGACTTTCCGATGACGTTCGGGCAATTTATTGTCCTGAAAACCTAGATCGCGCCGAGATGATCATTTTGATATAAGATGTGCATGATGTTATGGAGTTTTGATCATGTTCGTACAAATTTATACTTTTCTGACCAACATGCAAACTTGTGCTTCTTTTGTTGCTTGATCTTGTCCAAAATGTTGCTCTTATTGTCTTCTTTTTGTTAGCAAATTGCAGCTAACCCCCAACCTAGTCTAGCCTACCCAACCTAGCCTAGCCTAGCACACCACAACCAAGTCTAACGTACCCAACCCAGCCTAGCCTAGCACACCCCAACCTAGTCTAGCCTACCCAACCTAGCCTAGCCTAGCTCATCCCAACCTAGTCTAGCCCATCCAACTAGCATGCCCCAACCTAGCCAAGCCCATCCAACCTACCAAACCTAGCTTAGCATAACACAACACAACCTAGTCTAGCCCATCCAGCTAGCACGCCCCAATCTAGCCAAGATCATCCAACCTAACGTAGCCTAGCCACCTACTTCACACATTGCTAAGTCTTATATCCAACACTCCCATTCTATTTTTCATCAATTCCTATGGGTTTTGAGTTTACACCCATATTTCAAGGGGTACCTTTATATAAGCCCCATACATTATAATGCTTTGGGGGCTTTTTGAAATGAATGGAAAATAGGCTTAACCTAGGTGAGGGAGTGTAGTTTTGTTTGTCTTGTTGAAAATCTACTACCCTTGGGAGAGGAGAGAGAAAACTTTGTACCTAGGAGAAAATACCCCTCTCCGACCATACTCCCTAGTTGGACTACACTTCCACCCTAGACCATACCCGATACCCTTCCATACTCCATACCCCTCCATACTCCCTACTTATCCGTACTCCACCCTTGACATACCCCATACCCTTCCATACTCCCTACCACCCATACTTCCCTACTACCCATACTCCATACCACCCATACTCCCCTACTACCCATATTCCCTACCACCCATACTCACTACTACCCATACTCCCCCACCTAGCCCACTCTCTAAGGAGGCTTGCTCTAAGGTTCGTCCCGGCAATCGACACCTTTGACAAGCCTTCGGGTACTTGGGCATCGTGCTTAATACCTTTTCCCCTTCTTCCGGAATGGCCTCCCAGGGGAGGTGACACTAGAAGGCTGGTGGATTTATTGAGTGGTTCCTTAACCCCCAAACCTAGTCTAGCCTACCCAACCTAGCCTAGCACACCCCAACCCATAGCCTAGCATACCCTAACCTAATCTAGCCTACCCAACCTAGCCTAGTCTAGCACACCCCAACCTAGTCTAGCCTAGCCTAGTACACTGCAACCTAGTCTAGCCCATCCAACTAGCACACCCAACCTAGCCAAGCCCATCCAGCCTACCTAACCTAGCCTAGCCTAGCACACCCCACTAGCACGCCCCAACCTAGCCAAGCCCATCCAACCTAACCTAGCCTGGCCACCTACTTCACACATTACCAAGCCTTACATCCAACACTCCTTTTCCAAGCCCAAGGGTCCACGTGGCCCAAACCATACAAGTGCGTATAACCGAGCGGAAGATTGTGAAGGGGCTGATTCCAAACCACAACGATTGACGGCTGGGGTGCTTTTCGCGGGTGCTCCAAGGCGCCAGAATCTAAGGGGGCAACCTTGCCCAGGTGCATCCGACCCCATCCTTACAAGGTAAGATTTACCTTGTAGATTTTGTTGGTTCAAACGTCTTCACCACACCGTCCACCCTTATCCTAGCAGGCACACACACCAAGGTCACCCGTGTGCTCATATGTGCACGCACTTTAGGGGGCACGACACACACTTCTCTTTCTCCTTTTTCCAAAATGTAGAAGCACCTCGGTTTTAAGATTTTTCGAAGCCAAAAATCTAGGGTCGACCAAACATATATTCCAAAGGATGGGTTTCTATAACGCTGTAGCCCTACTTATTGAAGTAGGGCTGCAACCATCTGCACTGTTTTTTTTTTCAACCTTGCAGATTTGGTCCTTGAATCGATGAGAAAACCGAGGTTTTTTTTCTGTGACAGTCTTCCAATTGTTTTATGCTCTCTCCCTTCTCTTTTTTGCATCAAATCATGTAATTCCTTTGGTATCCTCTCTCCCCTCTTTCAATTTTCACGCTGCATCAAATCCATCTCTCCATCTCTATCCCCTTCCATTTAGATGATGGAGCTGCACAAAATCTTTTGAATGGCCATTGGAGTACAACTATAGAACTTGATATGCTATCAATTTTATTAACAAAAACTTTGGCATGTCTCTCATTAGAAGGACTTTGTTAATTTATCTTAAACAGAAATTAAGACACATCTATGCAGGAATGACACTCATAAGTTGGAAACGTACTGTGCAGGATAAGAATCCTTCCATTAATTGAGTTTATAAAGTAGCAGAATAAGTAAAACCAAACCAAAAGAAAATACTGTAGCAAAAGTCATGGTACAAACCTTATTCATTCTCCTCCCAAATTCTGCAGAATTTAGAGTAAAACTGTCAAAGGCATCAAAACACAAGTCGTAGAGAGAAAAGCCACCAAACGCTATTGGAGAGAAACCAATTTTAAAGAGAGAAAACCAAGAAATGGCATCCTAGAAAGAGAACCCACCAAAATCCAACTTCACAAATCTTAGAGAGACCACAATTTTAAAGAGAGAAACCCACAAGCAAGGCATCCAATAGTCTTCCATGCCACAATAGTTTTAGAGAGAGAAATCAAGGAAAACAAAAAAGGTAAAAAAAAAAACAAAGAAAATATTCTTCCATGGAGCCAAAGCATGATGTGGGAAATTGAGGCATGCTAAGAAGTCCCTTTCCTAAAAGCAACCCATAAGAGCTTTCCCCGCCTTTCTTGTGGGTTTCGGTAGATGATGAAAAATGTTTTCAAAGTTTTAAAGGGCGAGAGGCCATGGTATCGTTTTGTTTTTGTTGAGAAAAGGTTTGGGTAAGGGCCTACGAATTAGGATTCTCTTTAGAGAGAAATCGATTTGACGAAGTGAGATGGGAGAGACGGGTGAGTTAGATGTGGTGAGAAAGCATGAGAGAAGAAAAACTGTGGCTTAGGTGACCAGGTATCTTCATAGATTATCGTGCCAAAAACCAAACCATTCAAATATTTTGGATGGTGTAGAGGCTGCAGCAGTACCAATTGTAGTAGAGCTGCAGCCTTAGGTAAACATTTTCCTCTTCCAAAGATAGAGGCATAGTTTTTGATCTCTTTAGCATTGGAATAGTAGGGTGATTCCTCTTTTTTAGAATAGCAAATGTCCATTTTCAAGGAAATTTTAGGTGTATGCACTTACAAGGTAGACCATGTAATGTCAGTCAATCACTGATAAATATATATTTTAAATGCTACATGTTCTTATAATTGATTCAAAGTCTTGCACGATGCAAACTAAATAAGCTCTCTTTGGGTAAGGGTTTGAAAGAGGACATTGTGAATTCTATTGTGATACTGCCTTTGTCCACATGCATTCATCACATACCTCTATGAGCCTTTTATTAGAGATCCGTTCAGCGTACATTGGATTACACTAGGTTCACATGGTTCCTTGTTTAGATGGGTTTTACCCCCTTGTTTGTATGCTAAATGTGGTTTGGAAATAATGCGGTTTGACTTTCATGAAAATGAGCTGCTTTTGTGGTTTGAACAGAAACATGTAATTTCTGTTTCTTTCCCACTCACATAGTGGCAGCATTTCACAAGGACATGCACATATTGAAAAGGGGAAAAGGCGGCAGCATCTAAAGAAGTCACCTGTGCATAAATATTTAATCACCCAAAACAAGTCTTCATGACCAGGCATGGGTTTATAGAAGTATGATTGTAATATTTACTTCAATATCATTAATCATAATGTATTTATAATTATAGTACTATATATGGATGATATGATGGATGTTGAAAAATGTATGGTAGAGATTAATACGTTAAAGACTCAATTGAACAAGAAATTCAAATTGAAAGACCGTGGGTCTTAATAAAAAGTATTTGGCATGGAATCCATACTCCATAGTGATAAAAAGAAGAGGGAAGTTGTGCTTATCTTAGAAAAATATATAGAAGAAGTCTCTAAGTGTTAATATTGGTGATGCGCAACTTGTTAGTACTTCCTTAGTTGATCACTTTAAGATCTCTTCAGATTTATGCTTGGTACATATGAGGA